GGCTGGATTATGCATTACATCTTGCCTTCGTTGGTTGGATTATTACATCTTGCCTTTGTTGGATATATTGGATCCGCCATTTTGAATTTTTAAAATCTGACTTCAGATTCGCAATCAGCGACCCCCAAAACTCCCGAGTAACGAGTTTCAAGTGAATCCGATGAATTTAAGAAAAATCAGTCCGCCATATTGGATCCGCCATTTTGAATTTTTAAAATCTGACTTCAGATTCGTAATCAGCAGCCAAAAATCTTAAAAGAACCATTTCGGCTGAATTTTTTGGACATTATTATTGGAGTATAAATGTGAAGCTGCTATATTTTTTGATTGGAAATGGTCAACTTTGACCCCCTATATTTCTTAAACGGGGCGTATGCTCCTCTTAAAATTTTGCAGGGATTATTGGGTCATCATAAGTAACCATTTGGCATAAAAAAAGTTTCAAAAATCGAGGTACCGAAAACGGGCATTTTTTGCCGATGCTCTTTACTGTTCCAATGAATAAGTGTGCTTCAAGACCGACAAATAATCAGCACGCAATTTGCGTGAAAAAAGTATATAAATTCACATAAAAATATAATATTAAGCTACAAAGATCCAGCTTGACCAAAGTTGGCATATCTTGATCTTTTTTCGTTAATTTCATTTAAAAAGTTATCTAAAAAATAAAAGTTGCTACTATTATCACCACAATGACAAAAATAAAACTAAAAAAAAGTTCCAATTTCGATTCTTGAATGAATGTTTTCTTATATAGCAGAAATTGGTAAACTTTTTTTTATAATTAATTAAGTAGTATTTTATTGATCAAGAGGCAAAATCGAGAATATTATATAGATACTTATATATAACAAAAAAGAGAGCAAATTTTTTTATTCATAAAATTTAAAATATAACAATAATTACATGATTCGTACAAAAACAGCGACAAACTGTGATAACTTTTGGCGCACAGGCCATATTAGGTTATCGATCTCTTCTATATGAAAAAATTGTCTTCAGATATTTAAAGCATTTCTTGAAAGAATAGTCTTTGAAAAACTTACAATTAGTCAGAAAAATATTAAAGCTCAAATTAATTTTAAAATAAAAACATTATCAATTTTTGTGATAAAAAACACTGAACAAGAAACTGAAATTGGTACCCTACTTTGGTTATTTTTTACTACAAATTTCCTGTCTCAACATTTTTTTATTTACTACTTATCTTCTTATCTTTTGTATATTTAATTTAGCAAAATTTCAAATTATCATCATTCCGACTTTGAAATTTCACACGAGAACGCCAAAGTGCGCAAGCGCTGTCTCACAATAAACTCTGATATAGAATTATTATTGACATTTTCTTTGACTAGTCCAACATCAAAATTGATGTATTGGTTTACTTTCACGACTACTTCTGTTTTAAAAGTTTCACGTTGAATGCTATCAGCGAGTTCTATTGTGCTACCATGCAAATTCTTGTCAAGCAGTAACGGCAACAGCAGCAGCAGCAGCAGCAGCTTCGTCGGTATACTTACCGCAACGCGTGAGCACGTGGCACGGACTGGCGGACTTCGTCATATTGATCGACCTGAATCCGCGCTCCGGTCGGCGCGTTGACTAGCGCGCTTGTTAGTCGTGCTTGTCAGTACCCGGAAAGCGCTTGTACGCTGCATTTACAGCGTAATCGCGACCGCATAGTCGCACCGTGGCATTTCGCGAACTGCATCGTGCCCTTTGCTACGTACCCTCGTACCCTCGTTACGCACGTTTCACCGTCGCTATGCATCGGTGATGTAGACTCGTCGGTAGACTCGGCGCTTAGGTGTCTAAGCTTGAAGAAGGTGTAAGCGCAGAGCAGTGCCGGATCTCGTTAAAGGGTCGACAATATTGAATCTGAGATCACGAAGAATGACGATGACCAGTAAAAGAAAATAGATTTTGTGTTCCAGACATCGTTTAAAAATCAGGTCACTAGTGTTGTCACGAGAAAATCAACCCTTCTAGACTGACCCGTGGTGCTAGAAAAGTATGTGCGAATTGTGATTAGGGGTATGACTGCATCAAATCTGCTTTGCAATCTGTTTTATAGATATACAAGTGATGCACTTCGGATTTTGTGCAGTTTTGACCTGTATTTTAATCATTATAGCTGGCTAAATATCTTAGTCAAGTTATTACTATTAACGTAAAATGAGATCTAGACATTCGGCACATAAATGATATATAAAATGTAAAATCTGTGAAAGTAAAAATTTTTGAAAGAGTTATATATAGGCAAATAATCAGTAATTCTTGTATTACTTTGTCGAGTAAAGCATATCAAGGTAATTTATTATTATAAATTATAATAATAAATATTTAACACAAAAGATGTTGACACATGAAAGGAATTTAATACCTTAATATTGCGTTTATTAATTTTTATGAAAGAAAAGACAGAGAGTATTTTAGAAGAATTAAAATAAATATAATAGACAAAATATTTTTGTACTTTTCTTATTATTCTAGAATTACGATTATATAACCGTTTTATAATGTTAAAATTCTTACGAATCTTTTTTTAATTTATACACTAAGTATATTATAGTTATAATACTTTATATCGTAGAATAAACTAATTTATTTTAGTAAACAATATATTTATTAAATTAATAATATTATAACCTAGACGTAAAAATCTTTTAACAAATAAATATTTAACATTATACCTTAATTAATAATTTATTGTTGTTATCAGGAAATACCATAGTACCAAGTTTCATGGCCAGTTAAATGATTTAGTGCGTTATTATCTCATTAAGCTGCTAAGTGCCTTAAATTGAGCATTCACATTATGACAGTTCTCAAATACACGAATACATCGAGAATACATATCAGCATATAAAGAGAAAGTAAATATTTCCGGTTTCAAATATACTAGCGGTGACAGATACTAGCATAAATTAGTTCTGTTTAATATTAATTAATATTATTATATTATTAATATAATAAATAAAATATTTTTAAACGCAAAACAAATAAAATAAATAGGAATATTTTAACAAATAAGTAAAGTATATCATTAAATAGTATATTGTACAACTAGTGGAAAAAGTGGTTGATTCTGAATGAGTGTGAAGTTGGTCGCACGAGCGAAGCGAGTGCGACCATCACACTCATTTGGGCTCGACCACTCTTCCCACGAGTTGTTCATACTATTTTTCCTAACAAAAGCGTGAAACAGGCCGCTTTTCGCGCTTGTTTTACAATTTCATTTCTCCACTAGTTGAGAAATGGCTCCATGTTTCAACGCTTACGTCATCATTTGCGAAATGGATCGTTTGGCTCACTCAAAACAAGCACGAAAAGCGGCCCATTTCACGCTCGCGTTAGGAAAATAATATTACATCATCAAGAAATTTATTTGCAAAATTTATAAAACAAATATAAATTTGATATTTAAGGTATAAGCAAGTATATAAACAATTAATTTAGAGAGAGCTTGAGCACTTACTTTAATTGTAGAATTTTATTTTCGCGTTTAAGTAGCTTAAAGCGGAATTGATGAAAAATATTTATTATAGCGCATACTCCAGCACAAAATTGGATCTATATATTTTCACAGATTGCCTTAAATTTAATTTGAAAGTCAATTCCGTAATTTCAGGGACGGCTTGAAATATACGGCTGAATCAGCTCGCGCTAATCGGGCGCTACTCGATGTTTGAGAAAGTCTCGACATGACGCGAAGCTAAACAAAGTGTAAGGAGATCCTGCCGCTGTCAGGATGTGGACGAATCACTTGATAGTGGGTGAGTGTGCATGCGTTCTCGATGAGCTTCCCATTTAATCCCGAAAGGTTTTTCTATATTTTAAGAGGATACCATCGTCGAACTGAAATAGGCTTCTCCCTTACACAAATGTCTATCATATTTAACGTCTAGAGTTTTTACACTTTGAAACTAGAACAATTATTATAATCTTGTCACTTGGAACTCCATAAAAATTCATATATCCAAGGATATCTGCTTTTTTAACGTTGTTAAATTAACTTGGAGCATAAATATTGAGATACAAATAAATAATCGCGATTGTTTGTAAGTCAAGAAATCGACAATCTTGGAAATCTAATGCAAATTAGTTACGGTCTCACTTACTATGAGTTTTATTACGATCTAAAAATCATAGGTGATATATATTAGATCAATCAACACGCGTACGGCCACTGCTTCCGTGCTGCTAGGTACGTGGACACGTACGTACGTAAGATTCATGAAGAAAGATCGCATTTTTTTTAGAAATATAGAGAACTACGGGATAAAGATATACAGATTGATATTGCATCACCGTTTCTTATATAATAAGAATTACTAACAGATTAAATCAATAATTTTACAAATTATACTTAAAATATGATACATAGTCCTCTATATTTCAAGTCAAATGCGGAAATATTTTCAAAAAAGTGCGTCAGGCATCTCCAAATTGTTTTGGTTCACTAATATAGACAATTGTTGCTGAATATCTCATTTGAATGGGAAAACTTGCAATATATTACAAAGTGTAATGTAAAAATTATGTTTTACATTTGTAAAAGCATTAATTTTTTTATTATATATCTTTATACTCACTGCACTTCGCACATATCTTTTTTATTTTCTATTATATACTTTGTATATCATCTATACGTATTTTTAAATTGATATTCTAGATATTATAGAAAACCCTAATTAAGTTTCTGTTACAAACAATAGCAGATTCTGTACAATAATTGCCAAAATACGGCACGCAAGCACAAGAATATCGATTTAGTTCACTTACTTCTTACATAGTATTACATAGTATAACCTGTTCATAAACATTAATTATAGTAGCACGATTCTGCACGGCTCTAAATGTAACGAGTAAAAAAATGCAATTGCTCTCGATATTGAAATAACTCTTACATGCACCACGCAGAAATTGTTAATCCTTTAGCCTTTCACACTATCGCGTATTAAAATATCAAAGATATATGAAAGAATTAAAAGACCTGAAGTGTAATTAAGACACAGTTGAATTACTATCTACGTCATATTCTAAATATACGCACGCATCACTTTAACTGGAGCAAAATTTTATCCAAACGTCTATCAAACGTTATGTGAAATTTCTAGCTTTCGTCTTTCCAAGTTATTTTCTTCAAGATAGACGTTCTATAAGCATATGATACACATGTATGTTTCAAGGCTCTTTTAAAACTATACGCAACTAAGTTTAATTTCTAAATCATGCCCCAGTTAATCATGCCATTTACTGTTCTATACTTGTCTATACGATATATGCTTTCTGCCTTTCTGCACACATGTTTATACCGCATGTGTGCCATATTTTATATTCTATACATATTCCCATAGTCCATCCACCATCATCAATTCTTTATTACACACCTCATAATCTGCAAGAGCGAAAGCGCAGCAAAATTAGTATCATCCAGCGAACCGAAAAATCTGGACGTGACTGCCGCACGGGTCCCTCTTTGATCAATCGAGTGATAGCATTATTAACTAGCACAACTATCAGCAACATCGTTAATACCGGTATGCTAGAGCCGCGCTATAGAGATAGTAGCGGTTGTAATGGTAGTCGCAGCCACCGTAGCCGTTGTATAATAGCGCTAGGCCCGTTGCTTGCGTTATCACAGATCACGTCGTGTTACTTAAGTTATAGCAAACCTGCGCACATTGCCAACGCCACATTGCCTAAAGCAGTAACGAATCTTTCGTTTTCAGCGGCAATTGTACTCGCGGTTGCCAACGTCTGTCATGCGGAGTGCCAGAGTGAGTGATTAAGTCAGCTTACTCTCCTCGGTATGCCGGTACCGTGTCGTCGGACTCGTTCTCGCTAGGGACTCGATGAAGGTCGATGAAGCTCGATGCGTCCGCGGCAAAGTGACTTTTTGTCAGAGTATATCTCAGGGTGGGAAAGCGTTCTCTGTCGGGTATTATCCGGTCGAGATTGCTTTCGCTCCGAACTGGGCGAGAATTCCACGAAAAAAAGTTTTGCTTAACGAAGAGCATTATAGTTATTTTCACAATGTCGAATTCTCGATAAGTCATAAGAGGTCTTTGTAAATCGTAAGTGTCGCTCGACAATATTCGCATAAATTAATCTTATTCTCGTCCAGTTTCATTGAACACAACCACGTCGAACACAACCCGTTTGTGCTTCTGTATCGCGCTGTGAAAACCGAACAGTGCTTGTTATCTCGTTTTTTTAGAACTCACGTGCGCGCTTATCGATACGTAAATTCTTATATGAAAAATGTGCACTCGGAAAACTATGTGACCGCAAAGTATAAAAAACTTTCCAGATTGAATAATTTATCCGAATTGTGTATGATCCCAAATTACATATTTAATGATTTCGATCTTATTAATTAGTCACTTTCTTTACAATAACAGTTTATACTCTTAAGTCTACTATCTGCTTATTTAGCGTTAAATATGACTGTTTAACAGCTAAAAGTTTACAAGTTGGTTTGTGTATTTAATATAGTAGTATGTTATACAGAGTGTTTCAGAAGGTATAATGGAACAAACTTTAGAAGATGATAAGTCTCACCTTATAGACATATATAATAGACTGAGCATTCCCATTGGAGCGAGCTTCTGTCACAAGCAAGATCTGTCACAATTAGATTAGAAATTGTCACAATTAGAAAAAGAAAGCGGCACTGCAAGCATATCTTCTGTCCTTCAAATCTTGCCAGAAGCTCTCCAATGGCAATGTTCAGTCTATTGTGTACGTCTATGGTCTTACGAAAAGAATCAATTTGGTTAAGGAACAAATGTGCTCCGACGCGTCCTTGAGGAGCTACGCCTGCTAGCTATGGTACCTATACATTATTCCAGTCGACATTAGGGACGCAGGAAGTAATTGAAAGGGATCGTGACGGATTTGGATTAAATTATTAAAACAATATTGAAATAAATCACTTAAGTGACAAAGGGGCTTAGAGCCGTATAACATATTGTTCGTGTCGTCGATAATAAATTTGTGTAAATTTTTGTATACTTGTTCCAGCTCAGTGTACACTTTTGTATTTATTTATACATGGGCGTTAACATGCGGATCTCTTCTCAATATTTACCGGTTATTAGCGATAAATATCATTACATATCTCACAATCAGTGATCCAATTTGATTTAATTATAAGAATGCTGATTAACATCAAAAAGTTAAATTGATTATGGACTTAAGTATGTGGATTTACTGTTCCAAAATTAGAGCTGTGTTTCAAGACTGAAAAATATTCGGCGCGCAGTTTACTGAGTGAGTTGAAATAAGTATAGAAAAATTCACATAGAAATATAATCGACACAAACATCCTCTGTTATGGCTATAAGTCTCTTTGCCATTTAGGTGATTTATTTCAATATTGTTTCTAATTTAATCAAAAGCCGCCATGATCCCTTCAATTATTTCCTCATTCTTAGTATCGACTGGAGTAATACCTATATGTATATCACTGCATAGCAGGCGTAGCTTCACGCGTCGAAAGATATGGGTTCCTTAATAAAAATTGATTCTTTTGATAAGACTTTTACCTATTCCCTAAAGTTTGTTTCACCTTCTAAAACACCCTGTACATTAATAATATATTTTATCCTGTACATTAATAATAAATTTCACAAATTTATTATTAATTATCAGTTATTAATTATTTTTGCTAATAACAAAATGTCAGAGAGTCATGTTTAACACTAAATAAGGGATAAAAGAAGGGATCTGTAAGCAAATTGGACATTATAAAAAATAGGTAGTTGTTATAAATAGATCATCACATTCTTTGACTTCGCATACATTCTTTCCCGAGTGCGATAAGGACGATATATGATCTTTGAAAGCGTATCTATTTCACAGCTCGTTCCATTTACTGCTATGAATGCGACTCATGGACAGATCTCAGATGCAAGGATCCTTTCAACTATACGGCACTACCCAGGGACCAGCCACCGTTGATGACATGTAACGGATGCTGCGTGAAAATGGTCCGCAATGCAAAATCACGTAAGTATTTTCTGTATCTTTGTTATGAAAAATTTACTTCTTCTATAGAGAGACTTAAAATATCTATTCAATTTTCCATAAATCAGACTATACCATTAACTAATTAAACTAAGAGTCTTTAGACAAGAAGAACTTAACGCGGCTCAAACGTTTAGTAAATTATGGTCTTATGGTAAATAGTTATTAGAAAGTTATTGTAATAACACGTATTACACATTCTACCATATTAAAGATAATAAAACTAATTGTAAATCTAAATTAATTAATAAATATGAATCTCAGATTTTTACATCCGCAGGAATTTACTTGCTGCTTATTGTTCTCGTTTGCTTTGCAGCGTACGAGAGCGTGAGAAGAACCTGCACCGCGCAACTACAAATAAACTTATTCATGGTGGACCACGTGTGCATGATGGAAAGTACCGGCACTGGTCACATGTGCTTCTGTGAGGAGGATATGTGCAATCGTGTACCCCCGACCTCGCGCTCGAATCCCGTACTCCTGCTGATCCTGTCGACCATCCTTATTCTGCGTTCGGCCGTCTTAGAAGCCTCCGCTTGCTTTGTAGAACGTTGCAATAATCACATCGTATAACACCAATTAATTCGATCCACCCATCGCAGTGGTGTCCAATCATATCCTTCGTAGAAATTCTAGCGAGTCGACTACACGACCATTCGTCGGAACGAACGATAAGAGCTGGCTTTTTAAAAGCTACAGCCTTTGAGATGTAGAATAAAAAAAAAGAAATCAAAAGCATATAGAACGATGGATGATTGACATGCATCATTATCATTCATTTTTGTGCCTCTTTCAAGTGCGTGTTATCGATCCATTAGATCGCATAGAAATCGAATATATTACGTGGCATTTGTATAATATGAAAATTTTATCAAAGTTGCATATCTTATTGTTAGATAGTATATGCATAATAGAAAATGAGAATGCTAAGATAAATTTGGTAAGTGTTAAAAGTGCTAAAAAAAGAAACATATGAGAATAGATGTCTTGAAGTAAAATATATATATTTATGTATTCTTATAAGGGATTTTAGTATTCGCTATAATGTAGTTTGCATTAATTTTAATATTAATTAATTGACTTACGTTTCCCTTGGGAGACAGGCCCTTCGGGGTAAATGCAATATAAGTCATCTAGGCCGCGTACAAAATTATATAACTTTTAAATTAGAGCTAAAAGAAAAATTAAAGAAACTATTAAATAGCGCATCGATAATAAATTTCATTATAAACTTATCTTGAAATTTGCAGTGAAATTAGATAATTTGAACTATATACCACACTAAGTAGTTACAATTGAATTGTAACTAATAGAAAATTTAATCTTCTTGTTTTCTATAACGAGATTTGTCCAATTTATGTGCATCGTTCGTTCCGATCATTGGCCTTAGACAGCATCGATAGTACCTAGGCGTTTCTCGTGTAGAAATTATCCACTATCTAATCGATTTCTCTGATAATCTCGGCACGAGTCCGAATTCTCTATTAGTTGCTCTTTGAGCAAGCACGGCTAGCATCATTGCAATACATTCGTAATATTCGTAAACGCTGAAGAAGGAGTTTTATTGAAGAAAATATTATTAAAATACAAATTAAAATATCAAATATTAAATTGTATCATCTGTTTAAATAATAGATTTGAGTTATAGAAGCCATATTTGTAAAAAAATTTCATTTAATATAATAATTCGGACATATTAGAGAACATATTAAACTACTTTTATAATACTTATTTACTTAAATTATATAATTTTGCAATATTTCTTGCCTAAATCTAGCATTCTTGATGCTTCATATATTAGGCAATTATGTAATCTATTGTAATTTTTTTATTGCTCACTTTTAAATACTCTTAAATTAAAAAAAATACGTTCCAGTTTTAAATTGACAAGTAAAATATAAATTAAATTTTTTCTTCGGCGTTACCGCGCTGCATGTACTCGACTGTCGTCTAGGAACATCGATGATGATTTAACCATTTGCCCTATATTACGATAAAGCAAAGTAACAAAATGTGGATACTCTAGCTCTCGGATTTTTCTCACAACAATGCACCTCACTATGTCGTTTCTCTTATTCTGATGCGACAATGTTCGACGCGACTGGTCGAGTTTCGTTCGATGCGAAATATACTTATGAAGAAGCACAATAAAATTACACGAGGTATGGACGCCAAATTTGCACGTATTACATTAAAAAATATTAATATATATATATATATATATATTTCAGGGATCTCCTATATTTTAGATAAAAAATTATATAAATAGAAAAATGCAACTTTATTATATATAATATCTAAAATGTTTAATCTTTGTTTTATTACGCCTTATATATTTATAACAGAAATGTTGAATAGAAATTTCTTTGAATCATATTTTTTTCTTGATGTCTTCTGCGCGTATTCAAAATATATTATTTCTTGCACAATTATGTTTTCAGTAAACAGTAACGTTCTATACGTCGATAACTTTTAATTTTAAATTTAAAAACTTATAAAATAATATTGATTACATATTATGATGAAGTTATAAAATAATAATTATATGATTATAGTAACAAATGGCGTGCATTCGTCGTGCAATTTAATCGATTTAGCAGAACGCTTCCTTGATAGTATCCAATCACGACTCTTTTTTCGCTTTTCTTTACATCTTATCTTTCTCTCTCTCTCTCTCTCTCTCTCTCTCTCTCTCTCTCTCTCTCTCTTTCACATAGCCTGGTTTACCTTTTGCACTCTTCTTTCATTCTTCTCTCTCTATAACTTCCTTGTAGACGCCTTTTACCCGTTCTGAAAAAGAAAAACATCCTCATATTCGAAATGAGAGAAATGGGAGGTAATTAATAGAAGGCGAGCTTGTACGATAGAAAGACATTCTCTACCTTAGAAGGCATGGTTGCAGCATGCACGTCCGACAAACAAGGCCGACAGACGCAGAGAAAATCGACCGACGAGCAGCGAGGATGATCTTCTCGAGTTCCGGAAGTTACCTGGCCGCATATGCGCACGTTTTCTGAAACAAACATATTTTTTTAAAAATACTTTATCTTGAAAATCTTAGAAAATTTGTGGATTAGACAAAAAGATAAAAAAATAACAAAATAATTAAAATTTTTATTTTAATTTATATACGCGGAATTTTTTAAAGCTCAAAATTATAAAGAATTGTAAGTTTTTTGATAATAAGTATATATAAATTCAATGATCATTTTAAAAGTAAATTAAAAAAATTTATTTTAAATTTGGAAATTTGAAGATTCTAGGAATTAGAAATTTGGGTAAAAGCTCAACAACAGAAAAATTTGTTGTAGATCTTCTGGAAATGAGCGCACACTTATAAGAGCTTAGATCATTATAGTTATGAAGTTTCAAAGCACTTAGAAAAAGATCGAGTTACACGTAGACGAAAATGAAGTTGAGTGCATGGATTGTAGCGTTTATTAAGGCTGTATAATTTATGGAAAGTCAACGCAAAATTTTTATTTTTAAATTTTATTTGCACAGTAACGATTAATTTATTATATAATGCTTTGTGCAAAATTAGCAACTTGGATATATTTATATATTTCATAAATAAAAGAACAGATTTATTTATGTAATTATTTTATTATATTTATTTATTACTTTATATTTATTACTTTATATTTATTACTTTATATAATATATTCTTACTTTATATTTATTACTTTATATAATTATATTCCTTTTTTAAGAGAAGATATTTTATGAATAAATTAAATAGTATGTTTTATATAACTTGTGATTAAAACTATAAATAATTAATGCTGGAAATAGCTTTAGCGTTTGACTTTCAAATAAATGTACAGCAACACTTTGCATGACACTGCATGACCCTATCGTTATTACTTTTGCGTGTGAACGAGTACTCCACTTCTATATACGGCCACTGGTCAAAAGCGAACAGCATTCACATTTTTATTTTATTTTATTAAATATCGTTATTGAGTTAGATCAGTTAGATGTACAGGCAATACGATCTCAAAAGGAATTATATTATGAAATCTCGAAAGTTGAAAAACTCAGAGCTGTCTCACGACTCCAAGCTCATTATACAAATTCAAAAAAATTGAGCCGCTGTTCCTTTTCTCCTATGACTCGTCCAAATGCAACAAGAACAACAGCATTAAAATAACGGTTATAACAACTGTGACAACTATGATAACCCACGATACCTTCCACCCCGACAAACGCAACGCAAAGCAGACGAAATACAAAGCACAACGTGGGCCTTCAGCTTTATTCGTGCCACGACTAACGAATATATCTACCACTTCTGATAAAAATCGACTTTATTTGTTAAATTGAGCTTAGCTCTATTTGATTATTTGAAAGTTTCAATTTTTCAGCAGAGAAAACTATTGAATGAAACTATTGACTTACGCCATTGGAGCTTAGTATGTCATAAGGGTACACACATACACATACACACGCACGCGTACACACACACACACACACACACACATCTGTGACTTCCAATGAATATTTTGCAAAACTTTAAACATCATATAAATGATATTTAAAGTTTAATATAAAGTTATACAATATATATATTATATATTACTTTACTTATACATATATAACTATAGTAGTTAAAATGTTTATAGACATGTGTTATAATTTTGTTTAAAAATTGTGGCCACAGTATATGTACATACATACTTGCCAAGAATAGCTAAAGCGCTAATTAACTAATTTTATTTGTTTAATTTATATAATAATTTTTTTTGCAGAAAAAATATTGTGCATGAATGTAAGAGATTTAATAGTCACTGACGTACTCTGTTTAAAATCGATTGTAACTCAGCGTGATGTAATTGTTATCTCTGCTGAATGCAACCGCCGATCGATATTGCAACAGCTTCCAACTGGCACGACCAAGCTGAACGCACATGTCCTCACAGAGAGGCTTTCGAATCGGAGCCTCTTGCCAAACAAGCTTCGGTGCTTGCTTGACTAATGGCGAGCAGACCGACGTTTCTCTGGCAAGCCATGCGGCTCGTGTCGCGTCATTTGTTCATTGTCGCACGCGCGGCTGCGAGGCTACCTATAGTACCTATTCATGTTTTTATCGCGATCTACGTCGCTCTTACGCTACCGTCCCGTTTCTCTGTTCCTTCATTCTTTTTACTATATTTTATTCAGCGTCCTTCAATCTTCTGATTTAACGTGTATTGTATTTTAAGTCAAATATTGTCCAAGCGCTCGTTGTACGAGTGAAGAACATGCTCAAGTTAAATTGTATTAGATTTTTATTTTATTTTACCGTATAATATTTTACGAATTTACAGATCAGCTATCCCTTTTTTAGAAAAACAGATTTCTTTAACAAAATTAAATAAAAAATTAAATTTAGACAAAAATTCACGTGTGACATTTGTAAATATATGTATCTATATGTTGCAAGAGTCTATTTTTTATAATAAAAACGTCACTATGTCTCTACTGCACAATCAAAAATTGTAAGATTAAAATCTCCAAAGAAACAATAAATAACAAAACCGAATTTTATTTAATCAGATTAATAAGTATAACTTAATAACTCCTTGTTTTGCTTTTAAATCAAATTCTTTTTCTCTAATTAAAATATACATTAAATTACAAAAAAATTTTGTAACAAATTTGAAGTTGATTATCTTTTATTAGCAATTTTGTGTCTTTTTATTACATTCAATTTTGTTTCTTTTTATTACAAATATGCCAAAAATACTGGCTGATTAGAGTTCGAAAATAAATAAGCCAAGCATGTTTTTTTATTTTATGACAATGAATCGCAACAGAGATACGGGAACGTATCGATATTAAACCCTCGTTTACCGATAATAATCGGTACAAAATCTGGCCTCGCAGCTGAAAAGTATCCACGTATAGCTAATTAATCTACTTGCGATATAGATTATTTAGCGTAGAAAATCATAGAAAAATATCGACGCAAGGACGAATATAGATAGAAGGAAATAATTTTAATAGATAAGAATAATTTATAGAAAACGAATAAGTTAGTTTATACTAATCCTTTAACTCTTACCCTTTAATGCCCTAACAATGCTCTTTAATGGGCATTGCGTATGTTTTAATTTTATTTATTAGAATATAATATTTGTTTAATAATAAATTTGAAAATGCAATTGTGCGCTTAAATTAATAAACTAATAAGTAAAGAAAATGAGATTACAGTTAAAGGATTAAATATTATATAAAAGTATGTATATCTCTCTCCTACTATATTGTATTTCTATAAAATATATATACGATTATGTAATTAGTATATTTCATATATGTATATGTATATACTTTATATATATATACATATAAAGAAATATAACTTTTGTTTTATAGTAATGTATTGAAAAAAATTGTGATATGTTAATCTTATTTAGAAATTTAAGAGTAAAAGAGTAAACGTTAAACATATCTTTGTTATTGTTTGTGTCGATGGAATGTAAATGCAGACAAACATGTTCCCCATTCTTGAATCTTTAATAATTAATGTATTTTACCATATCAATAGGCTTTAACCTATTTTTGCGAATTTTTATTGAAGTTGTTTACTTAAATTCTATTAATTGGATCTATCTCAATTTATATGAAATAAGAGAAGAGGGATTTTAATTCAAATAAATTTTCATTAATCTCTTGTTTTAATTTTTATAGCATATTTTATCATAAACTAAGCAGACTTTTAGGTAAGAAAAAAAAATATTTTATTCCGTTCAAAGAAATAATGAAAAAATAAACCGTATTTTATATTTTTTTTTATTTAATGATAATAATAATAAAGTAATTTTTAGATGTCTTATTAATGCTCAATTTGTATTATTATGTCTAGCAAATAATTCACAATTATATTTCTTGGAAAATTAAAGAAAATGTTATATAAAATTATTGGATACAGAGTAAAATACACTTTGTCGATTAATATTGAAAGTATATATATTTTTATGTACGTTGGTACTATACACATGCGCGTTCGTTTATTTATTAACTTTAAGAAATAATTTTTATATATAATATAAAATAGCAATTACATTGCTATACTGTTAAACATCAATCTAGATTTTATTTATTTCTAAATAACTTTAAAATAATATATAAATTGATCTTATTTTATAATATATATGCTTTAATTAACATAAAGTACTAAATTAAAGTAATTAGAATACAAAATTAATTAATTTTTAAATGCAAATTGTATATTAATTTGCATCAAATCGACGAATTAATTGTTTTTTTTATAGGATTGTAACTGTATTTACAATCAAAGAGTTTTTACAAGATTCAAATTTATTTAGTTATAAAAACTCGAATGCAAAGTTTATCATTCCGAACATTTCAGTATCGTTATAGCTATATATTGCCAGTAATTATTAAGTAATTAATAAGGAATAATTAAATTGGTAAAGTGAAATGTTGTGATTGTGAACAAAAGATATAAATAGAGAAAATAATTAAGCAGAATTTTCTGATTTGTATGAGTAAAAATTATAAATAAATGTAAATGTTACAAAAATTTTACAATTTCTGTAGATATTTTACCATCTTTAGTCTGTTAGAATTTAATGTTTTTATTTATTTGTTTCTTTGTGAAAATATCAGTTGTTCATTTTCCATTACAAATGTTTGCACAGAATGTGGTATATTTTTAACATATATAGTATATGACTCTCGTATTACGTCCAAGCTCCACGATTTTATATTTCGTGAGAATTTCAAAGGTTTAAGTAAAGGCACAAAAGAACCCCGCAGAGCTTCATTAATGTTCTAAACTAAAGCAATTGCCATAAATCGAATGTACTTGAGCTGAAAGCGTACTGAAAGTTCCAAATATAAGTCCACGTTCCTGAGAACAATGTATATCAACGTTTAAATCATGGAAATTTAATTCTTATAACCAGAAGCGGATCTCGTGCGATCTGACGTAAGCGAGAAATGAGTAAAAAGAAAAGAAATAGATATCAAATAAGAGAGAATCCTGAATATATATTTTTTTAGATAACTTTTAGTAATAATATATATATATATTTTTATTAATTAAATAATATAAATGAGATTGATAATCTAAAGATAACAAAATTAAGAATGCATATGTGTATCTGTGTGTAATATATTATTTTTAACACGCTAATGTTACATCGATATAGAGGTCATCGGACAGGATATTCAGGAGAAAGGATTCTAATTTAAAACGTTAAAATCCAGTCTGGTTATTCATAAATATTTTATTCATGTAAAATGAAACTAAAATTGGTACAGGTACATACATACATGTAATATGTGCGATATGAAGACGAAATAAGACTGAAGGTCATTCTACCTCCCCCGTGTTCCTTTCCCTACAGCACGAAATATTGCAGCAACTTGCAACAACATTGCAGCAATATTGCAATATTGCTGCAATGTTGCTGCAAGTTGCTGCAATATTTTGTGCTGTAGGAGTTTTTTACTGGCAGTGCTGAAAATATATAGTTTGCGTCACGTAACTATAGATTTTCAGTACTGGCAGTGAATAAAGAAACACAGCCCTCTTCTACTGAGCTGAAGAAGTGAGAGAAAGTTTTTTGGAGGGAAGATTAGATTTGGGTGGAGGACCTTATAGCTTATTAGAAAGGAAAGAAGGAAAAAAAGAACAACACTAAAACATGATTTATTTATATTATTTGGTACTTCTTCCAAGCTTGGTCTAAAAATTTATACGCGCTCGCTCATGCGCCCGTCTGTCCTGTCGATTCTGATAGTGTTTTACGGCGCACCGCGCGCATGCAGTTAGGACTCGGATCCGAGCTTTTATTATAACTATAGATATCGAATGGGTTATTTAGATTTTATTTGCTAGAGAGATGAAGTGGAAAGAAAATATGAAATATTATCTATAAATTAGGTATATGAAAAAAGAAGGAAACGAGAAGAAGAATAGTAAAAAGAGATGAAATAACGAGAAAAGAGTAAGAAAGAGAATGAGAAAGGAGAGAATAAAAGAAAGTAAGACATAATCTATCATAGTGAGTGTATCAATAAACTCGCTAAAGGAAAATGAAAGAGAGAAAGAGAATCTACCAAATGCATTAATGAACTTGTTAAGAGAGAATAAAAGAAAGAAAACGAATCCACCAAATGAGTCAGTAAACCGGTTAAAAGTAAAGGAGAAAAATCAGAAACAGGAAATAAATTGAGTTGGAAAAAGAATAAATATATAAATCGTCAGAATAAGAGTGGAACATAAGTCTGAATCTAAACGATAATTATAATAAAAATAAACAAAAGCAAAATTGTGCGACTAACTTGATGATATCTCGAGAAAAATAACGGTTTTATGGCAGAACTTTTATCCTAATTTCTACTATAACTACTTAAATATTAATTTTAAATAAATTATAGAACAATTAATAATATACAATATGCATAGTTAATAAATAATAATTTTTAATTAGAGTGTAAAAAATACCCCGGGTAATTGTAAAAAGAACTAGATGACTATTTCTGGGTTAAAAATAAAGAATTATTTTACAATTTTATGATTTTCTGATGTCTGGCAGCGGATCTAAAATATATTTCTTTTTATCTACACATGTTTTTTATATGTGTTATATCGGGTAACAATCTTTAACACTCGTTATTATTTGACTGCAGAGTTATTGGATCTTTAATCAGAATTTATATTTACTTGTTTATCTATTTCTTGATAAAAAATCTCTCGCAATTTTTTGTTTTAAATAGATCACAGGTTCTTGAGTTTTATAGTTTCCAAGTTAGGCATGCACTGCTAAAATCTGACATTTCTTTAAAATAACATTTATAATCTTAAAGAAAAATTGGGATTGTCAACTCTTAGCATTTTCTGTATGTCGTCGAAGAGTATCTCAAATATTCATAGATGAAGTCCATATATTCGGTTTCGCACAATATTATTTTTATATAAAAACTTGTGGCGACATTATATAGATCTCCACGATAGAAAAGAACTGTGAAGTCCAGAGGATGTAACATATGTATGATAATGTATAATATTTATGTACATTTGAATATATTTTTAAGATTTTTTAGAACAAGGCAGAAATAAATTATACGTATAAGTGCGGGTAATTAATACAGCATTAAGCATTTTGTCATATTGTGCATTTATTTAATTTCATACGTTTATCACGTACAAAATATTGCACTCTACACCTTCGTTTTAACAATTACTACAATATTCTTTTAATTACCAACATAAACTACATAAATATTAAAAATAATGCGATTATTAATTATTATCTGCCAATCTTGTACCACTTTTTTTATTTTTATAAGCTATTAATATAAAGTCAATAATTTGTCAATAGTTTGTAAATAAAGGTAGTTATTTTAATAAACAAAAAACAAATTGTATTTTCAATTAAAAATAAATACATTAATTAATAATTAACTTAATGTATTTATTAAATAAACTTAACAAATAAACTTGACAAATAATATAGATATATGTACTTATTTATAAAAAAAGAGCAGAATTAATCTTCTACAATAAGTTTGTAATATTCCACGTCTTTTTGATTAAAAAAAATTTTTAACTATATATTTGCTAGTCTAAAATAACATTTGACTGAACACGCTAATGACATATCGCAAAAACAATTTTAATTTAACAGAATTAAAATTATTTTAAACACTAAATGGCTTCGAGTGCGTACGTTGTTCAACGTATGAAGAATACGTAATACTTTTGAACTAATTACTGACGTTTGGAATAGTGACCACATTTTCTGCAGAACTCCTTTTTGTCATTGTCTTCCTCATTTCTCTTCAGTGACTTCTTTCTGGCAACTCTAACAGGCTCCAAATCGCCTGTGTAAGGACGATGTCCAAAAGCAGCTATAGTTTCACTTCTAGGAAAGCCTACGTTGGCCGAAGCAATAGTCACCGTGTTGTCGCCGTTATCGTCAGCACCGACGTTAACAAATGAACCATTCGCCACTATGTAACTCGAGCCACTCTTCGAAACGGACGATTCCCTCTTAATTGTTTCGGAACTATCGGAGTCCTCCCAATTTTTATAAACAATTGATTTACCTGTAAGAAACATAATAATAAATCTTGTAGTGTATCCTTCTTTTGTTATTTAAAGTAATGAAAAACGCACCGTTGTCAGATTCATCCGGTGTATCAACATCAGATTCACATAATCCGGCATCTTCATCTTCTTTCATTAATGGTAACTCGGAAGGCGAATCCGAGAGTGGACGGCTGCAAACGTACCCCTAAGAGACAATATTATTGAATTATTAGATATAGTTATATTGTATATTCCGTGTAAACCAAAGGCATCGAAATATACAAAAATAAAAATTAGCGGTTGGTTTAAACATACCTGAACGAGATCCATGCGAGAATCCAACGAAAATTGCTTGCCCGACATTAATATTCCGCGAATGCGACGACGTATGGCTGAAATTAACATGAAATATATATTGGCTTTTATAGACTGTTCTGTAACTATTATAGTGTATAATATTTTAATAGAGTATTTCGGAAATTAATTAAAGTCAAGAAACTCTTTACGTATATAATTATATAATAATTAGCTATGTAATGTAACAAATTGATTAATAATTTTAAAATGTTAGTCAATTAATTGTGGTCAATTGTCTGTAAATCGTTTACAATTCGTCCTTAATTTATTAAAATCGCATAATTTTTTTTAACCAAACAACAGTAATAATAATAAATAAATAAATTGATATAAATGTTTTTTAAATTAAAATAAGGTAATAATTATTCTTTAAATAAACGCTAAATGTACAGTGTTAGATATAATATTAAAATCATGTAATATACGTTAGTACCTGGACTATCTTTCGCCTCAAGATGAATTTTCCCAAAAGCTTTCATGCATTCTTCAAATACGTCGGCCGTGTCATATATTGCGGCAAAACTTCCATTTACAATTTTCGGAGACATTGGCGAATTGGCTAATAGTAAGCTCGATCCGAAATTCTCATTCTTCTGTCGCGTATCTGAAAAATTATCAAAATTAATTACATATTTCTCACAGCAATATTAAATATGATAAATTAATGAATAAGAAGTCAATATATTTCAAGTTTAATTCGTGCGTTAAACAGTGTCGGAACTCGAAGAAGATATGTAACGCATCACCTTTGAAAAGTGTAATGTGTATATGGAGTATAAACGAGCAATCATGTGTTCATAGTAATAACAAAAAAAAATTATTGTGTAATAAAATTATTTATTTAACTAATTTAACTAAAAAATTAAATTTAATTAAATTAATTATTTATTTATGTATATATCACATAATTAATATTGTGTCCTATTATAATTAATAAAAGAAATAATTATTAGTGCATATAAATAGCAACAATATTTTGTGTTATAAGTCAAATATAAATATACATGTATGTAGAAGGTTTTGTACTCTACCGCACATATGTATATTTCATTACATATATTTCATATATCACAAAATATAATAAATTGAAATTGCATCCTCATGTGATTTTAATTTATCATACACATATATTTTTTCATGGAATAAAAAATATATATTTTATTACTACTTGTGTAAATAATTTAAATTTATCATATTTTTTACAATGTATGAAACATATATAAACAATAAGATGCAACATTTTTCAGACGTATACATATTTTCTATAATACAATAAGTTATTATTTATATGCGTTATATATCTTTAACTTAATGCGAAACTATTTGTTTTTGTATAAAAATAGCATAATGCTATTTTTGTCATTATAGATCGCTATTGTCCATTAAACTGACTGAAGCTGTCTTAGATCCGGTTTGTTATTACCTGCGAGAGGAACTCTAGCTCGTGGTAATTGGGTAGCATCCAAGATTTCACTAGCGGTACTTCGTATTTCTGCCCAATCCTTTAGGATATCTTCATTCGTCGTGCTGAAAATACCAAGTTTTATTTCATAAAATCCGTAAGTGCATTAGAATGATTGAAGAGAATAACAAATATATTTAAAAAAGTCTTCTTGCCCGATCTCTTCTATTCAAAAAATAGAAAATATAGCACAGTTTGAAAAAATTAAATTACTTTAATTTTGAGTTTTTAATATAATTATATAAATATTAAAAAATAAATACAGAGACATACTTTGTTGAGGTAACTGTAAATCTAATAACGTATTTTCCGTGCAAGGCGGCTGGCACGCAATGCAGTCGGCCCCGCGAATTCAGCTTCTTTAGCAAACGTTCTGTCAAGGTATTCTCGCCACGAAGACGAAAAACCACCATGCCGAGATGTCTCGGTGCAGGAATTTCGAAGCGAGCATCTGCCAAAACCAGAGCTTCGAACTTCTGTGCTAGCCTCACGCCCTATGAATATAAATTATGGACTTTTACACATTACACGTTTAATCTACAAATAAAAGAAACTCTAATCAAATTTATAATATTTCTTTTCTTAAATATGTTTCAAACAGATTTCACTTTTTGACAAAATATATGCGTATTTAATTGATATTATGTACCTCTCGTATATGTTTCTGCAAACCAGTAATTCCATAATTCCTGATAACAAACCACAGTTTCAGAGCACGAAATCTTTTGGATAGAGGAATCTGCCAATGCTGAAATTAACAATAAAACAAAATATATTACTACTAAGTCTACATATTTTCCTATTTTAAAATGTATAATAGTAACACTAAAAAAATTTATATTTATATAACCAAAAAAATATATATGTATAATTTTTTTGCTTTGGATAAATTCTTTTACAATCTATTAATGATATTACAAAATGTATTTATTACTTACCATATAATCGATTGCAAGACCTGTTAAAAGAAAAGTTTTACATTATTATAAAAAAATGTTTTATATTTTTATAACTTGAGAATTTTATATTATTTACAGAGATTAGATATGTTAAAATTATATGTAGTCTTTATGTAGATAAATTTTATAAATTTATGAAGAAATCTTAAAAATCTTTGAAAATATCCGATGGGACCTAACTAATATTATAATTAATTAACGTTCGCTAATGATATAATTTTACATAAAAATAACAAACTCTTTAATGATTAATTATCAAAAAACCTATTAATTATAAAATTACCTGAATTTTCGTGCTTCAAATATAGTGGATCGACATTAAAAGTTCTGTGTAGAGCTTGACTGTTCTTTACCCTAAAACAAATATATACCAAAAAAATTTATTGGTTTCTTATCTAATCTGATCTCTACTTTGATCATTTATGCGTATTTATTACGTTCGATATACATAGGATCTTTCAGATATATATAGCCTTTTTTTTAGATTTTTTTATACGATAGTTATTTGCTTATATTTTCTAGAGTATTTTATTAGTCTCAATTAAAAATTTTGAATTTTTAATACATGTTATTCACGAAAACATGAATAATCTTTTGAGAGAGGTTTACTAAATATAGTTATTTTTGCAACAATAGTAATAATAGATTTTCCATTATATATGTAGATTTTTTAAACGCGCTTATCAGATATAATTATTATTTTGCAATCATATTTTGCATTCCTCGAATTTGATCACTATTGTAGTTTTTATTTACTCAAATAAGGTATATGCTTTACACGAGTCTTGCTTTTTAATTTTAACTAAATAATGCATAAATAAAAGAGAATATACCCTAAATATATCATAACATAAAATATCATAAATCATGTTACTTCTTACTATCGACTTTAAACACAATTGAAATAATATTCTGAAAGATTGTGAACTGCGCGCGTTCAATCGTTGGGACGGCCTCGAAAGGAAATTGCGGAAGGAATGGAAAAAGATGACCGTACCTCTGCAATCCAACTAATAAAACGAAAATTGGGGCACGATAGATAATCTTGCAAGGCACGTGGCTTACTTTCTTAAAATTAAAATCACGTGCAATTTATAACAAATTTTATAAAAACTGCTAGTGAGTATTGATTTTTCTTGCGAGTTACGTAAGTTGATTTATTCTAATCAAATTTATATTTATTTATTACACAATTATTCAAACTATTACTGTTATAAATCGAAGAACTATTAACTTTTTCTTAAAACTATTAACTTATAAGGAAAATTTTAATAATAACTTTGCTCATACCACATGGCTGTACAATCAAAGTGAACCATGAGCCATTTGCTTGGATTGAATGCGATGGAATCAGTAAACTCCACTCCCTGAAGCCATCCGCGAAATTCCGGACATATGAAAGCGCTACCAGCATAAGCCGCATCGACGTGTAACCATAAACCATTTTGTTGGCCTGTAATAACATAAAATATTCGCAAACTGTCATAACATTTCGGAACATAATCCAAGAATCTGACGAAGAAATTGTTTTAAAATTTACATTTAAGGTATATTAGTATATTTCAAGTAAATTCGATACTCACATATCGGTCCGATTTCCTTGAGATTATCAAAGGAACACGCACCAGTGGTGCCTAAGGTTGCACACACCTATATAGATAACAGAGTTGTTTTATATGTATTGAATAAAGAAAAAATTTCTTAAATAATTAATAAATTAAAAATTTTTAGTTTTTTATGTTATATACAGAAACAGAAAAAATAGCTAGAGACAGAGATAAAGAAAAGATAAATTAAATTTATTCTAGAATTTAAAAAATTTCTTAAAAAGTTTCTCAAAAAATGCAAATTTTAAATATATTTTTTATAACGCTAAACAACATTCAATATTATAAAAGTGCAGATTTAATACCATAGAAATTATGTACAAAGCTGTATAGGAACATATTATAATAAAAATTACATTTAATCTATATTTAACAGTAACCCAATTTGTTTCAGATTTAATTTCTCTCATTAATCTTACACATATTGTCATGCTTCTTTGTCTCTTTTTAAAGATAGAATTTAATTTAAGAAACATTTACGTTATGACATATATTAGCAAATTAAATCAATGCCGAAGAAATTGACTTTTAATCGTGCAATATCTATATATTATCATCATAGAAAACGTATAATTGGCAAAATAAATCCGGGAAATATTATTACATCGCGAAAAGTCTCGATTATAAATATTTTTCATTGCGAACAAAGACTCAAATCAGACTACGAGGCTCCTATGGGACCAACTAGCGCGACGTCGATCCGGCTTTGCTCGCCGAATCCGTGCGTCTGTTACTACTTGCAGGGAATATATCTATAATTGGCGCACTGGTCCGTCCATACGTATACTTAGACTACTAGCTCTTGTTGCCACAACGTTAATAGACGCGGATTTCGTTGTTCGTTCTATATTGTTATTAAAACTGCTATATTACAATTTGTTATGACTTATACTATATAGAAGCTAAATATAATAAATTCTAGGCAAAAAATAATATGATAAAATAAATAATAAAGTTTAGAAAAAAATATATCAACAGAATCATTCTTTATAGAAAAATAATAAAATACATAATAATGACATAATACATAAAAATTCCAATAATTTGAAAATGATGAGCAAAAGAAATTACGTAATAAAAATTAAGAATCTGACGATGTATTAAATGTATCTAACAATAAGAAAAGATAAACTCAAAAGTGAGTTAAAATGTATTAAAATATCCAGATTGTATTTGAGAGAAACAATATTAACTTACGAAGAAAGGAAGCAGACCTTCAGCCCGATCGCGCGTTAATGCTTCAAGTAAAGCATCTCCTCTCATGCTTAATTCACTGTCAGACTCAATATACCGCATTCGAACTAGTCCTATGAGTCCAGCTTTCTCCACACTCGAATGTGCCTGTCAAGCCAATAAAAATATAACAACACAGAAAATTTATAAAAATCTTTAAATTATAAAAACTATTAAAAAATATTTTATTTATTATTCCTCAGATTTTAATAAACTAATATAACTATTAATATTTTAGAGATGTTAATTTAAAGATGTAGACATAGACTTCGAAAAATAATATTCTATAAATCAGATTCTGAAATTATTCTATTGTTCTTCGAAATTCTATTGTTTTTTGAAATGCTGGCAATCAATATCTTTGATCTAACATTTTTAACATTAAAATTTCAATAGTTGTATTTATAATATAAATTTATTTTTCAGTAAATCACAAAATCAAACGCTTTCTATTTATTTTTATATTTATTAAAACGTGTCTACACAATGAAATGGCTTGAAAAAAAAAACTCCAGGAGAAACTTATTTTTCAATGCGGATAGTATACATCTCTGTTCATCCATGTAATGCGCTTCAGTGTATTTTAAAAAGCTCTCAAAGGAACGCTAAAAGCTTGAAATTTTTATTCGCCGCAATACGCGCAGTATTTAAGGTTTTCACTTCTATTAGCATTTATTATTTCTGCTCGGTACTTTTGCGATTGCTCCCAGCGGTCGTACATATACTTTTAAATAAAACATCATAGGAATTTGCACTCTTATACTTTATCGTCTAGATACGTTTGCAAGCTTCTTACTTTCAACAGAAAACAAAGGCTACGAACCTGATCCGAGCAGTATGCAACTAGTCGCGAATTGATCTCTGTCGCCAAACAATCAGGATCATTCTCCTGCACGTCCCTGATAGCTCTGGTTCTGGCTGCGAGCAAACACACGAGTGTGGCTTCAGACGCCGTCGTTTGTATGACGCCACCGCCGCCGGAACCGCCCGGTCGATGCAGGAAATCCTCGGGTAGACCGATCATTTTGCCTAACCAATTCATAACGATCGTTTCTAGCTCGGTACACGCTGGACTGGAAGCCTATAGAAATATACATGTTAAGTTTAAAATCGTATTAAGACAATTATCGCATTAAGACAATTGATTATGATTTTTAAAGATTAAAAAATAAAGATTGTTTTAATATTAAGTTATACATAATCCTCATCATTAATTAAATAATTGAAACGCATTAATGTGTATATAAAATAAATTTTAAATTATAAGAACCATATGTTCCATGAATTATAATGTGGGTATTTATTATAAATTATTATAAGACACTATATAAAAAATGTTGTATTTTAATTGAAAATTTTGACAAGCTGTTGATGATATTTATCGGAAACTCTTAATTTATTATTTGCAGAACAACAAAAGACTATTAAATATTAAATATGTTAAAAAAAATCAAATACTAGCTATTAAAGATAAATAGGTGAAAGTATAACTTACCCACGTAAAACCCAGACAGTTTACTGCGTCGGCCAGCATGTCGCCCAGCAGACTGGCAGGTGAATTCAGGGCTGGAAAGTAGGCGTGCATGTGCGGACTCTGCCAATGCGTCACACCCGGCATAATGCATTTCTCAACGTCGGCGAATATGTCCTCCCAAGGCTCACCGTCCACGGGGGCCGACGCCGGCAGGACATTTCTCAAGTATCCCGGCGAGACCGCTGGGTATACTCGCCGAGAACGGATGTCTCCTAGATAATCGGCGATGTAATCCACCATTTCCTTTCCTGTGCAATTTTCAAATATTTATGCTTATTCTAGACCATTATATGTGCAATATCTAACGAGCATACTACTACAAGATCTGTTCTTTTACAAATTATGCTGCATCTTAATTTACAAATTGCTGATTAACTTTTTACAATTAAAATAAGTAATAAAAGAGAAGTGTTCGGTCGGGCTGGATTTTTGCAGCCTATTAGTAATATTTTTGTGTAAACTTCGCATACTTTTTTCAACTTAGCAAACTGCGCACCAATTATTTATAATTATTTGTCGATTTTAAAACGTAATTTTCCGTTGGAACAATAAATCTACAATACATACTTAGATCGATTAATTTACTTAACTTTTGGTTGTTAATAAGCATCCTTTTTAAACTGTAAAGAATTTATTGCAAAAAATATCACTCGAGTCAAAAATTCGAGTTTGGCTTGGACTTACTGTAGATTTACTGTTTCAACGGAGAACTGCGTTTCAAATAATCAGCAGTTATTGCTGAGTATACAAAATTTACACAAAAATATTATTAATATTGCTACTAAGATTCAGCCCGACCAAAAATGACACTTCTCTTTACTTAATTGAGATTTATATCGGTCCAGATTCATTTATTATCGTTTAATTTTTTACATATTTACAAAAATAACAATTTATAAAAATTGATTATTACAACATATAGACTACCAATGTTTATACAAAATAGAAATAAAATGTAACTGAGTGTGTAAATCACAATAATAAATAAACGTAAACTTATCAATTATTCAAATTATTACAGCATAATAATTTGAAAAAATTATATTAATAACTATAAAATGATTATTGCAAAATTATAATAATTAATTTTATTTTAAAAAATTATTTTAAATTTTTAGCATTTTTAAAATACTGCTCTTAATTTAATACCTATATATCGATATATTTATTATAAAAATGTTATAAATCAGAAAATGCTAACAAAACAAAGAATTAAAAAAGTGTTGTTAAACTAGGATGTAGAATCGTAATATTAGGTAAACTATAGAAAATAAGTTTGCGAATCCTCTTCGTTCAAAATTTAACACATTTATTTGCAACTAAAAGCCATTAAACAGAAACAAAAGATGCTTTGAGAATCAAGGAGCTTTTCTGTACTAAAGAAAAGACACAATTCACATCTTTTTCAAAGATTAGAACTCCCCCTACTTCATACACGTGAATTCTTTTGTTTGGAAAACGTAATCACTCTTTCTGTCACATGATGTCCTATACAGAGACTGCATTCTGGCAAATAAGAAAATACATAGTTTTCTAAAATTGTTCATTCAACAATTGATTCTCTATCAAAATGCTTTACAAACATCCAGAAGAAAGAAAAACAAATTTATTTTATTTACTGTTACTGGTCACAATTATGAATAAGTGAATAAACCTGTATTGCAATATAGAGCGACACACATTGCCAATCCTAATTTACCAAGACGAATAGACAGAATAATCGCCTAGAAATGAAATCGTAGAGGAAAAGCGAGTTTCAAAGCTGTAGTCGTAGTATCAAAGCTGGAGATTTAGACTGTAAACGATGTCGCGCATCGGAAACAATATCGCACCTATAAAGCCTTTACCAATTCGATCAGTGATCTCTATTTATTGATGCTGTTTCAAGGGACGTACAATCATTGCCGTGGCTTGAACGTAATGGATTCTAATGTGTCAATTTGATTCAGATTTAGAGATTAGGTCAGTTGATTGATATATTTTGTAATACGTTAATCAAATCTTTTAGCTTCAAGACTTTCATAAATATTATTATATCGACTTTTATTTTATAAAATTCATATTATACAATTGAAATTTTTCTTATATAACGTTATGGAATAGGAATAATCGCTGATGTGTAATTTCGAATAATTATAAATTGTCCAAATTTTATTTAATTTTTTTTTTTGTTATGTTGATGTGTCTACACATTTGCTTACCATGTTTGCGGTAATCCTCCAAATTCATTTTATCTGTAACAGATGGTATAAAAAAATACAATTATTAATTATTAATTATTAATAGTTTTCTTTCACATACACATTTTTAAAACATATATTTAAGATTAAAAAGAATATAGGATAATATTTTCTAATATAATATTGCGTACAATAATGTTATATTAAAAAATCATTTTCTTTGCCTTCCTAAGAGAAATGCTTAAAGGAAAGAATCCTTATTGTTGCAATTGATTGACATCAGTAATCGAGTGGTGCGCAAACAAAAGACTCCACTTCCCACAAAAACCGCTAAATGTCAGATGTGTTCTTTTTTTTAAACTATACGTTGCTTTAGTTTAAAGAAAATGACATGTAACTGCAAGATTTTTATATAATAATAAAAATAATAATCTAATAATAATCTATATTTCAAAATTATGATTTATAATGGTTGCAATAATTCCTTTATGTTTGTTTATTAACCGTACTTTATCAATACCATGTGATGATTCCTTGTCAAGTCACGAGAATTACTATACACTGATCTAAACTCGCTCTTCGATTTAGCACAATTTAATGTTGCAAAGTTGCAGAAATCTAGATGCAAAATTACACAACCACTTTCCAAATTACTCGATATACATCCGCGGAATTTACTCGCAACGAGGTTTTTACATAGGCACTGCTGAAGCGCGATTACAACACAACGAACGATGTTGACCTAATACAAAAATTCGCGATGCGAGTTCGTCGCTAATTTCTATGGATTCATTATCGATCGCGCGTTGGCGTCACATAAGTCGAGCTTCTTATAGTGCAGGCAATCCGGGGACCGTTAAGATTTTTGTTTGGTGATACCGAACTTTAGCCTTAATTAATAATAATATTAATTGCATCTCGGAATGACGTATAGCAAAACATCATGTTAAATAATAATAATAATAGTTTAAAGAACGATATAAACTGATATAAATGTTTTTTTCGCGCTTTGATAATACAATAAAATCGAATAAACTCGATAACATAAAAATATTAATAATTTTATCATCAATACACATTAATACACAACTTGATAATATTTTTTTATCGGTTTATTACAATCAAATCAGATTACCTGACAGATTTTAACATCCAGTAATTATTTTAAGTAAATTATTTTTTTTTAAATTCTATTTTTTATCAAGTAATAAATCTCATATTAATTATTAATTAAGAAAGAAAGTAATATTTTTGATAGATAGATTTTTGTCCATAACATTTAATCAGAAGAGAAGCCAATCATTATAACGCAATTTGAACATATAACCGTGTGTAATGTAAATCTGCTGTTACAATACAGTACGTATTCGGTTTTGTGACATTGTAATCAATTTTAAATATAGAAACGCAATGCGATACAAATTTTATTTTATATAGAATATAATACAATAATGGCAAAAATAGGAAAGAATATATTTTTATCATAATTTTTTAATGATATTATGTGATCACTAAAATTTTTGTACATTTATTGATGTCATAAATACAGAACAATTTTAGTATCTTCCCATAATAAATAAATAAATGCACAATTTTAATAGAGAAATTTTATACAACATTATAAAAAAAGTTGTATATCGGCGATAGATCGAAATCACAGTTTCGACAAAATGATCTTAGCATCAGAGGCGGAAAGAATCACGAGATGAGCGCAGAACGGAAAATCGAGCTGGTCGCAAGCAGCAGCGATCTAAAGCCAGAATGACGCCCGGCGATATTAAAAGCTCGTCCTTCCTCTGTTTCCGCTTCCGACTTTTGTAATTTCCCGTAGCTTTCACTGCTGCCGAGCGGTTTGCTGAGAAAGATTTATCCGCGACGCCGTCGGCCGCTCGCGGATTCTCCATCAGTGATTCGCGATTCAATCGAAGAAAATGTGAGTTAGGCATTTGATAGCGGTACTATCAAAACGCGCTGACGATTATCGAGTAATTCGAAGCATGTTCAAATCAAATCGAGTTTACATCAAATATATTTCATAAATTCATATAGTGTTCCAAAGTTAAACGATCAAACTTTGCAAATATGTTATACAGGTAGAAACAAAAAAAAATGTTTTATAAACATTTGCTCAAAAATGTCTTATCAAAATAATTGTAATATAAAAATATTAAACATATATAAAAATATTAATAGATTTTTTATTGATATATAATAATAAATTTTATATAATAATATAAAAACTCAAGTCGGTATTTTTGTAATCTGTTTAGTTTAGTCATGTCTACATTATTAAAAATTATTGAATATATAATTTGAATCAATCCCGAAATATCAGTAATACAATTTTAATTATAAAAATGTCATATATTTAAATGGTATATAAAAATGTTACAAATATTCTCAAACAAAAAATATGCAAATATAACTTATAATTTCTATGGCTCGAGCTGTTGTAAGAGAAAGAGATCGAGAGCAAGAAAGAGAGAGAGAGAAAGGGAGAGAGAAAGAGTGTCTTTACAAGCATCAATTTATTGCATTGCTAAAAACAATTATTACACTAGAGTTCAATACAATTGAGACTTTCTTGTTTTAATTAAGCAATTAATATTGTTAATAAAGATAATATTATGTATTAAAATAATACACACGCATAGATATGTCATCTGTTTTAACTGACGAAAATATTTCGCTAAATTGATGAGCTTGTTCATATGTATAATGCGTTTTTTCCATTCGGCATTTAACACTGTTTATCTTAATCGAAACAGACTCTCGGATTCCGCAATTAATTATCCAATTCTACATTCACAGATAAAACCAAATCATCTCCATAAAGATCATGATAAATCAATTTTCTTTTATATAAAGTGTCTCAAGTTTTTTTGTACAAACTTTGGTAGTATGTTTTCTATAAGCAGAAATAAAAAAAATGTTATATAAAGAGATAGATCATAGATTCTAAAATGTTTTATTAGAAAGTTATAGCAAAAATACGAAATGTGTACAAAACAATTTTACTTAACTTTGTATTCAAAGTGCTGTCCGCTCGTGTCAATGCACGCTATACATCGATGTAATATTGAATTTATCAACAAATTTGAATCCGTCAAACATAATTGCAAATAAACGTTGGTAAATACAAGTTTTTATTATTATTTTCAATCAATTTAAATAGTAAACATGATTAGAAAAAACGGGTAAGATTAAAAGTTATGTTTTTTTTTATTATTAATTATTAATCCATCATCGTCCATAAAAAAATGACAGTAAAGAGATACAACACATAAATAAAACAGATATGCTTAATTAAATTTAAAAAAATAAATTAATTAAGGAAAAGCCGTTAAATGGTCAGTGTACTGTATTGGGAGGTAGAGGAGTAACGCGTACTCTGAGTTTGGATACCAACTCGCCCGAGACAGCGCGATCTCGACAGGCGAAGCGGAAAGGTAGCGCGTGCTATCTTCGTAATTCCGTTGTATAGGCGTACTTTGGCGTATACAACAGTCAGGAATAAATCTTGGTTGCATAATAATATGTAGTTTTGAATGAGATTATTTCAAGTCCAAAAGTAACGACACGTGGTTTACTAAGGGGCGATGAGTTGTACATAAATTCACGATTAATGTTATTAAACAACCGAGATTTAGTCCTGATTTCCCTCCCCCTATGTTCAACGGTTTTTCCTTAATTTGATTGTATATCACACACGGTCTCATTTACTGTAAAAAAATAATTCTGTAATAACTTTATATACTTAAAATTAACAATAAAAATGATTAGCTTGCAGTCAGCTTATTTGATACACTTTTAGTTTTAGTACTTTTGTAAACGTAAATGTAGTTTTCTAAATGAGCATGTCTAAGATTTAAAAGATGAACATACAAGCTCTTAGAATTCCGTATTTAAAATCTGCAATCATTTTTCTACATTCATTTTCATATAATATCACCGAACTTTTGATTCGGATAAAATGATATTACTTTCACGTGTAAAAATATATTTTTAATATATGTAATAATATTCACACATAAAATACTAAAACAGAAAACGCGTTATAATCAACTTGTACTTATATCTAGAGCGCGAAACTAGTCCGCTTTTTGACGAGCGTTAATTTGGTTTGTCTAATTTGTTAATTTAGTTTGATATCGGCTGACCTGATCGCGAGTCCCACGTCAATCACTCTCGTGACGAATTGAGCCGGAGTCGTGACTTGGAGTCGCACAATATGAGAAATACCGTCGTGGTCACCCGTCGGATGTTCGCTCCCCTTTTCGTCCTCGAAGATATGTCCGCGGCGGAAGCAGATCGGCAGAATGCGTGTCGCTCAACAAGTGGCTGCTTTTATATAGCCGCGCGCTCTGCGTACAATTCCTTTGATAGCGCAAGCGTAACGAGGAAGCCGGGAATGATGAGTCCTGTGACCACGATTTACAGCCCCAAGACACCACCCACTATGAAAAAAATAAGTTTGCACAATCTTAACGATCTTAAAAAAGAAGAAACGTAAAATAAAAATCTACGTTTAATAATAGTAATATAAAGACGTCAAAATATAAGAAAAAATAAGATTTAAATAACAAATATTATAAAAAAAGATATAATCTCAAAAAATTATACTTTTATTAGCAATATAATGTAATTTACTATAAAAGCTAAATTACTTACTATTACTTCATGAGAAAATTATACATATATAATCCGATATTTTTTTTTATATATCTTTTTTGCATTATATATAAAAAAGATATTGTATGTATAAATATTACAAGTCTTACAATATTATGTAGAATTTTATTTAAAATGTTGTGTTTGGTAAAGTAGCGATTTTCACGCAAAACGAGGTATTCTCTGCTTTAAAAAAAAGATGTAATATTGGTCGTTTATGCCTCTCAATACTTAAAACTTTTTAGACACAAAAAATAGTCTTTTTTTAAGCAGAGAATACCTCGTTTCGCGTAAAAGTCGCTACTTAATTTACCAAAACACAATATTTAAAGCAGTGAATAAACGAATAAAGTATTCTCTACTTCAGAAGAAAATTTACTTGTTTTATAAAGCAGCGACTTTCTCGCGAAATAAAGTATTCTCTGCTTTAACAAAAAGAGTTCAATTTATCAACAATTTACTGCTTTAAATGTTGTGTTTGGATAAAGTAGCAACTGTCACGTGAAACGAGATATTCTCTATACTTAAAAAAAAGACGTAATATTAGTCGTTTATACCTCTCAATACTTAAAATAACTGCTATAATTTTGAAGCTTTTTTTGTTAATAATTTTTTAATAAAAAACAAGCGACGGCTAAAACCTTCTGAAGGTCACTCAGGAGGGTGACTTTGACAACATATGTCAAGGTCAAGGTCATCGGAGGGTGGTCCGTATTACTGTATAATTACCAAAAATGTTATATATGCCATATTATGTATAATTTTATCGTTAATTTTTTATTTATCAACGATTTTTTCTATCTAAAAAGTACTATTTTGACCTCCCTAAATAATTCAACTTTTTTTAAGATATCAATCTGCACTATTTTTTTTTCTTGAATACTTACCTCTGAAGTAAAAAACCTTAAAAGAATTTTTTTTTATTACTGCATAGAAAAAAATTACAAATTTTTGAAGAAATCCATCTCTTTTTTTTATTTTTATTCAAAGTTTATTAAAAATAAAATATTAAATAAACGATGTTTGTCAAAATGACTATAAAAGTGTCAACTACAATGTTGACAGATGTTTTGTGAATTTTTTCAGATTTTTTAAAATACTTTAAGGAAAAATAATGTTGGACGCGACAGACCCACGTAGCACTGTCAAGGTCCCAAAAAACTATATACAGCTGGAGGATTAATTATATAATTGTGCCGTTCTAGCTTTGGTTAAGACTGCGTTTTCTTTGAAAGTAACGGCACGTGATTTTCTAAGGACTGTACGTAAACTTCACTCAAATAATAGATATTATTATAGAAAACCAAAATCTAATCCTGTGTAACGACATTTCCTTTGATTTGATTGCGTATATTATGTACACACACCACACACCAATACAAGAATAATCTTGTGAAAAAATGTTCCGTTTTGAAATCGTGTATTATAAATTGCATAATGCAGCAAATATAAATGTCAAAATAATAACATATATTGTTAATAAAATTATGTTTGTTTTGTTTTTATATTAGTCAATGTATCTTTTAATTACGTGATAAGTACAATAAAACAAGTATAATAAACTTTAATCGATCTAGTTTTGAAAATTACACCATCATGATTGAATTCTGGATTATTTGGACAAATAGAAGAGTACAAAATGTGTGTATGTGCGTGTGTATGTGTGTATACATATATATCAATACATAATATACTTAATTCTCAGCTTTAAATCAATTACATTTAATGTTTTCTTCTTCACATACATGACATTACAATTTTATTTTGATAAGCGATGCCATTTCTCACGTATCAACATCTTGTAACGAGAGCATTGTTAACGGCAATGCATGTCATTTTGTGCTTTAAAGGTGAAAGAGCGCATTTTCTCTCTTCCTACAGACTTTTATTTCAAAATATCGATCTTTACATATAATTTCACATTTATAAAGCACGTATCCTAAATCAATATACCGATATTTATTTTTATTTTACATTATATATAATTTTGGTATAATTCTTGTGTACGATTCCGGGAAAAAAAAATTATCACATACATATATATATATTATACATATTATACATATTATATATATATATTATACATATCACATAATTATATATACATATAATTATAATACAAATATAATTATAAAATATGTCCATATATATATATATATATATATATTTTCCTATATAACCTCTGTTTGTATATGTATGTACATATACATGTAAGAAAAGTAATAAGAAGTATAATTAAAAAATAATTACAAAAATAACTTTTGCATTGTTTTTTTTTACAAAAGATAAAATTGCGATTAGCTTTATAGGGGAGACCGGAGCTAAAACGTTCAACGAGGTTGAACCATCAAATCAAATATCTCGGAACCTGTATATTGTGCAAACTCGCTATTAACATTGTAAACGCTGCTTATGGTACCCATGTAACCAACGGAGTTTCGACAGGTTACCTGTCGTGTTATAATTTTTACGAAAGCAAACGTATTTTTGGAAGGTGAAAGTTACATTTTCTCCGCGTGGAAATTTTGAAATATCTGCAATAATATTTGCTCTTCAAATCTCGAGGTACGTGATTATAAAGAGTAATGCATGCTGAACACGAATCCAGTGTAGTTTTTTCATTATTGTTGATGTCTAATATTTCGTGGGCGATCAAACCTGAAACTTGTGTTTGGGGATAATTCGTCAGTAAGTAGTCCGGGTGCATTTCCAAGGCATTTCCGGACATTTCCAGGCTCACTGCATATGGAATATGGATGAGACGGGAATTACAACCGTTCAGACACCGAATAGAGTCATCGGACGTCCAGGAGTGAAACAAGTCGGGCGAGTGACTTCTGCGGAAAGAGGAACCCTCGTAACTATCTTTTAATAATGTTTCGCATAAAAATTTTAAATAAATTTTTATATTTTTCTCTTAAAAAACAATTATTAAAATGTATCCTATCATTTTTCAGGATTAGATGTACGTATATGTATTGAAAATGCAGTGTGAAGATTAAACCCCGGCATTTTTGAGATTTTAATTTTTCCACCGTTGTCGTTTTTGCTTTATACCGACAAACAAAGCGACGTAGACAAAAATGTTCTATATAAATTTTGTAGTGAAAGGTTCACTCTTTACAGTGGTATACCACATTTAACTAAAATTATTTATTTTGTTGTTAAAAATCGGCACCAAAAAAAACTGACGGTTTAGCCCCTCTGTCTGCCCTACAATATTTTATATATACACTTATATTTTACGATTAGTATATTTATATACAATTATACATGGGAAATTTCTTCTTATATTGTAATATTTATTTTTTTACAAAGAAAACGATGCAAAAATTGTTTTAAGGATGTTCTATATAGGTATCGTCCCAACCAAAAGTATGCAGGAAATATTAAAAACTCTGATATTAATTCTCTAGAGTCTAGAGATCCAAAGACAAAAAAATGTATATAAATTAGTTACGGAACATCTAATAGAATGTAAAAGACGTAGATTTAAATGACTGTAAATAACTGTTACTACTATTTTTTCAAAAAAGTTTTCAAAAAAATTGTTATAAATTTTTTTATATTTTGTTGCTATATTTTTGTTTGTTGATGATCTGCTTGTATGTAAAATATTGTTATATTGGTTACATTTTTTTATGTTTACACTTTTCTCTGTAAAACCCATTGTAAAACGGATATTCAAGAATTGATAACTTTTTATCTAAATTGTGAATCGAGTTGAAATTTAGCCCTGAACTTTGAAAGAGAATACACAATATGATATTATATTTTCGTCAACTTCGTTACATTTTAACTAACTCTTTAGAACACCTTTAATTATGTTTTAATTCGTCTTCTTATTATTTTTCTTATACGTATGTACGAGGTTATACAAGAGAAACAAACATATATAGACATATTTTATATATTTTTCTACTATTAATTGGCGAAATATACTTTTAAAAATATATATTTTATAAAACAAGAAGAAAGAGAAAGAGAGAAAGAAAGAGAGAGAAATCAATAAAATAAATTTTTGAAATTCGTATTATTAAATCTGTCCCTTTTTTTAATATACTGCTAATTAAAAATTAATTATTTCAAGTACAATAATTTACAAGGTTAATTTCAAAGATTGTTATAACATACATATGTTGATATAATATTTGCTGTGAGTGAAATATTTCATACACACTTAGCTCTGATACACAGAGACACATATAATTTAGAAAATAATGACACAGCGATAGACTCTTAAAGCTTCGCTTTAACAAGCACCTTTCTTTGAATTGTGTGCACTCTGATGAGAAGTGCGTACTTGAAATATCGATTGACTTTAACGTGTGAATGAAGCCTCCAAGCTCTCGTATAGTACGGTAAATAATTTAAGGTTATGCTGTATAAATCGTATAATCGGCAATTTTTTATCTTCTTAAATAAAAAAAAAGGGATAAAGAATTTTACTTTATATACTCCAAGGGGCCTTAAAAGACGTTTTAAAAGGACGCACCCAACCCTAATCTCCAATTCATCCACTACCTTACTGTTTCCTCCTTTGGACTAACGGTTTAACGTCTCTTCCGAAAGACGGAGCCCAGTTTTCTCCGCATCTTGCGGAGGGGCGCGCTTTTTTCGGAAAAAAACTTTTCCATGATTCATGGCTCTAGTGGACTCGAACCTGGTTCCTCAGATTACGAGTCTGTGGCGCTCTACCACTA